TCACCAACTACAGCTAAAGGAGTCAGACCGTCGGCTTGCAAAGCTTGCTGGGAAGACTTCGTGATGGGTGCGCCGATGGAACGGGCTAGAGAAGACTTGATCATGCTAGTTGCCGCACCTGTATCGAGGGTGAGCTGAACCGGGTAATGCTTGTAGAAGGCTTTGAAGTGAGGTGACTGTTTAGTACTGACGCGACGTGAGACCGAGCGTGCTGAGGTACATGATGAGTGTTCATCTTCGGCCGTGATGAGAGGGGGCGAATAATCCGTATAGTCAGGATCCTCTTCATCAAAGGTAGACATGAAGCGAGAACGAGACAGAAAAGTACGGTCCTCTGGAGTAAAATAAGGTCAAGAGCTGAGGAAGTGTTGGTCATTACGACCGGCCTGTTTACAAAGTGGACAGGACTTTGGTCTCTTGGTAGGAGCCCATGGCTGGGGAGAAGGCTTGGGCGAAGGGCGAGGCGGTGGCTGTCTGAACCGCGACGCTGTGGTGCGCAGGACTTTGGTGTCGGCGATACTGCGAATTTCCTCGAGAAGGGAATCCAAAGCCTGAGAAATTTCGGGTTTCAAGGAAGCCAGAGTCTTAGATCTTAATTCTGTGCCGTAGCGCTGTTTTACGAGTGCGGGTAGGTCGGAGTGTAAGAGTTTTAACCACGTTAAAACGACCATATTTTCAAGTGTGGGGGTCAGCTCTTCATCAGAAGTAACGTTTGCACCATGGTGAGTTACGGGGCCGTTGGCAACAAGAAGGTTATCTTCGGTGAAGGACATTAAGCGCTGAAATAAATCTTCGGGGGCGTTCGTCGACCTCAAGTTTGATGTTGGAGAAATCTAGGAAGCGTGCACCAGTAGACTGGAAGCCATAGTGGGCTCTTATGGCTTGCCAAACGGAGCTGATGGAAGTTGAATTTTCACGATGGAACTACGTGAAATAACGGGGCAAAAGTTGGCGATCTGGCCTAACATGAGCTCAAGGTGTAAGTTTTTCTGAAAGGCAGTACGTCGGCGAGTGGTAGGAACGTCGTCGCCATCAGGCTCGAGTCCTCTGTTGGGAGCAGTAGAAGACTTTTTCAGCCACGTAAAATTGTCAGCTAAAAACGGGACAAAATTACCATCGAGAGAAAGGGAATATTGCAGATTCTGTCTCCAAGCTTCGAATGTAGTAATGGTTTCGTTCTTTGTGAGGGACCACTGCTTTGGAGCTCTATTAGAATTCATGATGTGACGAGAAGGAAAGGTGAAGCGATACTCTCCTTGAGATGAAAATAAAGGCTTGTAAGAGTTTACTCAATCGACCACAGGATAGGAAGACTCGTCGTTGCTTGGATCAGCGAGACGGTTCTCAGGCTCTCGGAGACGTGGATAAGGAACCGCTGCCACCACGCCAATGTTGGGGAGACAGGAACGTCACAACGAAGGAACTCTAACAGCTTTAATGTCAACGGAATCGTTCGTACAACAAGATGGATGCGATAATCACACACACGAGGGAAAACCGGCGCGCGCATATAATATAACACAATGCCGCAGGCACTGCCTGTTGGCGGTGACTTTATTCTCCATATGCAAATTAGCCTTAGATGCGTCGTTTCAACAACTTGACATGAAACATAATCGTTACATTTCACATTTCTAAGGAGAAAAATAACTCTCCTTTCTACAGAAAAACACGAACCATCACTTAGAATCCCCTTAAGGTCTGTTTTTTTATTTGTTTAACGAGGAAGAAGCAGCTGAATAATATATCATGATATATGTTTGCATGGCTTAAAATAATTCAATTACTGTGGCCTGTCACGCATTCCTAAAGAGGGGCGGTCGATTAGAAAACAATAGCGTTGAATAGATCAATTTTATTATATTATCATCTTTTTTTAAATGGTAGTTGTTGATAATAATTAAAAATAAGAGTTAACTTGCAAGGTAAGTCCTCTTGTCACCACAATAAAATTTGTGGGCACTCTTTTTTGCTCATCAGATGTTTGTACACGGCACTATGACAAAAAAAAAATGCCCCACACTTTTTCTATCTAAATCCATGTATAGCTTTGCAAAAGGCAAATTACCTGTAAATTTCAGTTTCATTCAAAGATCTTTAAAGCATTTATCGGTAGCAGAATGAAACGGGAAAAATAGTTTCTTTTTTCAGTGAATACCCGCAAAAGGGATTATCTCAGTTTTTAGTTTTTGTTAGGGTATAACATTCGTATTCCCAAGATGATCTTGTTTTGGTTTCAATCTAATTGAATTATAATGCAACAGGTGCCAGTTTCAAATATAATTATGCCAATGAAATCGCCGAAGAGATCAATTGTGAAAAAAGCTGTTCTTTTCGCGAGATCGTCAAGACAGAGTGTGGTCCCAGTAGGGGTGTGGAGGGAAATGTGTTGGTCGCAGAGTGCATGAATGATATTACGTCGCACTTAGCCAGCTGTCACTTGTCTAAGTGTAGCAAAGTCAATGACTGAATGAACTCATTTTAGCGAGAGTAGAGGTTTGGTAGGTATTCGGAACTGAAATGACAATCTGCCCAAGGCACAGACACTAAATAGCCTGTGTACAGACCCCCCCCCCCCCCCCTTAGGAAAAATCGGAGAAGGGGCCCCTTCGCCGAGGGGGGGGGGGGTGGTGTGTACACAGGCTAACACTAAAATGACAATCTGCCCAAGGCACAGACACAGACAGGTTTTTGCCAGCGCCAAGGTCTTGTTAGGCTCGATTGTAAGCCGCTGTGCTGGAAAATGAGCCCCCAAGGGATTGGGAGACGGCGGAAATCAAGGTCTTGTCAATACCCCGGTCATACTCTGGATCATACTGGAAAAATAACTACTTTGGCAGGAAATAAGTCAAAGTTTTCCTCCATCATGTAAGTATCATTCTTTTTTCTTCTTCATGCAAAAAATTTCTATACGTACAGAGATATTCTTATTTCGCCATTTAACATTTTATCTTGCGATGTTTTCTGATGTTCGTTTCCAGTTTAGTTGAGCTTGCAAGGATAGTTTATTTATTTCTATTTTTGGAAAGCCGTGTACCTTGCTCTAATCAATTCTTACCTATAAAATACTATACATGAAGGTTAATCCGTGTGTTGTAAAAGATAGTTTTCTGATGATTGTTTGAAGAGCATTATAAATGGGGAAAAAAGAAAGAACTTTCTACACAGAGTCAGGATTCAACTAATTTCTCCTCCCCAGGGCTTTCCTGCCCCCCTCTGCCATTTTCTAAGAGGAATGTCCTTGGGACGTGTGTGAAAAGTATTTCATTCTTGCAATAAAAACAATTTTTTTTAACTTAAACAGTGTTTAAAACATGTCTCTGGTTTTGTAAAAATTAGTGAGACTTAAAAGTACCAGAATGTTCAGTTCAACTTTAAATAGCCGATTTGCTCCTCCTGTGGCAAGAAACGGGAAAAAACTTGACGCCAAAGGGTCGAGAAGAGTACGATTGAGCAGTCTCTGTTTTTCTTGTTTTGATAACGTTTTCATTAAGTCTTCAAAAATGCCTCCAGATTGCTGTTTTTTTTTTTTTTTTTGTATTTATACCCTCTTGAACAATGTGCTCCATCAAAGTGCTCCTCCCATCTCTCTATTTCTAACCTACTTTACCATCCACCCTCTCTCCCTCCGGTTCCACCTCTACTTTTACAAGCATTTATACTTAAAGGGGTGAAATTTCTGCGCTGTATATTAACTTTTGAAAAATTAAGGCCTTCTACTTTTTCCTTAAATTCTTAAACTTAGTTCTTTTTTCTTTAAGAACCGCCAAAGGTGCTGCTAAGGCTGAAATAAGCGCACTCGCCCTTTCATATACTTCATCTAGTGAAAGCCTACCCTTTCATATACCTGAAGCCTGAAAAAAGATACCCCTTTCGGGTGGAGCCTCCCCGTATAGGCCATCATAGGGAGTTCCCCCCAGCCCCGTTCCAATTCCGTGCTCACCTATTGCCAGCCCATGTTGGACTCTAGGCCCGTTTGAGTCAACACCTAAACATAGTCCTAAGTGTAATTACAATAAGGCAATGGACGAAATAACCAATGTAATGAACTTGAATATACATTGAACTTGACCATAGAGATCTGCTGCAAGAAGACGAGGTGTTCGAAAGGCAAAAGCTTGTTGCAGGAATCGCTGAAGAATAATTGAGACCACAACACCCTCAATCAGAAGTTTTCAACCTATGTGTATGTCAAAGAAAGATCAACCTAGTCAGTTCAGCGTGGTAACAGAGCCGTAGGGTAGTTGCCTCCCCTGGACCTGTTGAGCCAGACAAATCAAGTCTGTGGATGGATTTGTTTTCTTTAGGCTCAGTTATTTTGATTATAGTGACTTGCAATTGTTTGCCATTTTCATATTCGAGGTCGATTTTTCGGAGACATATCTCATGACAAGTGCTGAAAATTGCATTTCGGAGCCTCCAAATTTGAAATTGTTTCTGGGGGAGGACACCCCCAGACCCCCCTACAAGGCTCGTGCCTTCGGCTCTCGCGATAATGCCCCTCGTTACAAAAAACCTAGCTACATCCCTGGGTAATGCTAAAAAAAAATAAGTTGTGTCACTTTGAAATACCATTCAAATCCAGGGAAAGAAAAGGAGACCTAATTTACAAACTTTCGTCTTTCATTCACTGAGTGCACGTGCTTTTCTCCATCAGCTCAGTAGTAAACATAGACAACATAAGGATCCTTAATTTAGTGTGATTAACAGCCGGCAAAAACTTTTGGGGTTTAACAGGGGACGGACCGTAAACAAAAAACTATGCCTTTTCCTTTTTTCCAAGTGACTACTTTTTGGCTAATTGTCGTGTATTACACCGTGGCATGCGATGGGCCGTCATATTAAACCCTATCCTAGTGGCGCCCGGTGATACTAACTCAGTTAAAACGGTCGTAGAATGAATAAATACAACAGCACGGTATTTCCCACCCAGTAAAGAATCGGAATTAACAGTGATTAAATTGTATGATTATCAATAACAATCACCTCAAAAAAGATATAATAAGATAAAGGAACTGATCGATACACGGTCACTCTGGGGGAATGCGTGACGAGCCACAGTAATTAAATTATTTTAATTCGCGTAAACATATCTTCTTCTGCTGCTTCTTCCTCGTAAAAGAAACAGACCTAAGGGGATTCTAAGTCATACATCGTTCGTGTTTTTCCGTGAAAGAAGAGATATTTTTCCCTTAAAAATATGAAATACAAGTATTATATTTCCTGTCAATTTGTTGAAACGACGCATCTAAGGCTAATTTGCATACGGACAATGAAGTCATGTTCATCGTCGACAAGAAGAAAAAACAAGAAAAAGCAATTACCAAGTTTTCTTCACATGTTTTCGAAAGTCCAACATTTAAAGGGTCTAATGACGGTTAGTGATAACTAGAAACATTAAAGCTGTGGAAAATAGTCGACCAGATGCAGACCGTTACAATTCCAGCTTTGCTGTCAAAATGGCGAATTTTGGAACATTAACGGAACTTTGTACAGCACGCAAAGAGGAGTGCCCACAAATTTTATTGCATTAAGAAGTAGACTGGTCTTAGTACTTCTGTTTTATCACAGACTTGAGTCTGGGTCAGGTGCCACTTTTGCGAAATTACCGTTCAGCTCTAGTTATGCAAATTAATTTTCCCGATAAGCAAATTAAAGGTCATTTCAAAAAAATCATATCTCAGCCAACTTTCCACAGAATGCAACCATTAAACCTTGAAACTATTAATCAGTGTTAAAACATTTGTGTGTAAAATAATCAGCTTATTCGGGTTGGTAAGGTAGGTTTGCAAGAGCCCTAAAGTTTCCTTAAAATCGCACCACTTCCGACGGCAAACTGGCTAGGTTTGGGTGACCGAGAAAATCTTCTTGTAATATAGAGAAAAAATTGAGTTGGTCCGAATAAATGTGATATTTCTTCATGGAATAGGATAGTTATCTTCCACTGAAAAAATCAGGGCAATCCGTGATAGACCGAAATTTGCCTTATCGGTTCTTACGCGGACAGCCTCTTAACATTCAAAAAATAATGTTCATATAATGATAAGAAACTTTCGTATTACCTTCATGAATTTGTTGAGCATCGAAGTTGGTGTCATCATTAGTTGACTGTGTGCTTTCACTTGAAACAGTTTCTTTTGTAAGAAATAAATATTTAGGCCTATTAAGACTATTGATGAAAATAAGGCACCAACTGGTCAATCAGCAGTTGGGAAACAAGTGTGTTTAGGCTGTACGATCACAGCGTTGACTGCATAATTCTTAAAATGTGTTCCCACAATGGGAATCCTTAAAGTAATGTATATATAATGGTAAGAAACTTTCATATACCTTCGTGAGTTTGTTGAGCATCGAAGTTGGTGTCATCATTGGTTGACTCCGTGCTTTCACTTAAAATAGTTTCTGTAAGAAATAAATAATTAGGTTAATGAAAATACTATAGGCCACCAACTGGTCAATCAGCAGCTGGAAACAAGTGTGTTTAGGCTATATGATCACAGCAGTTGACGGAAGAAACAAAACAAAACTTCATGTCCTGGGAGCGCTCAATTCCGAACTTGAACATGCGAATATCTAAAATGATGTTCATATAATGATAAGAAACTTTCGTATTACCTTTATGAATTTGTTGAGAATTAAAGTTAGTGTCATCATTAGTTGACTGTGTGTTTTCACTTGAAATAGTTTCTGTAAGAAATAAATAGTTATGTTAATTAATTAATACTAACTAATTAATACTGTAGGCCACTAACTGGTCTAATCTAGGATCGTAATCAGCGGTTGGGAAACAAGATGACCGAGTTTTTTCGTTGCTATGTTGCCATATTGTACGTCCGCAAAAAATTAGTACTTTATTCAACTTATCTGACCTTGTCTGGCTTCCGGCTGGCGTTTCCAGCTTATTGGTTATTTCAGGATGTCGTTACCCCTTAATTTAATATTGAAATTAAAGTCAATTGAACTTAATTTAATTAACCAGTTAACTTAACTTTTTGCTATGGGTACAATGAATTGTCGTTGTTGTTGTACATCTTAGTCCCTAGGCGTTTTCTCTTGTCCCGTTATTCGTGCGAAGTCTGGGAAAGGGTGACGACGTCACAGCTCGCGGTAGAGTCCAGATTTGGCCGAGCGCCAACCTAAGTATTAGGTCTTCCTTGTGGGTCGAGAACGCCTTGGGATTAGGCTGGGTAGTTGTATTATTTCGAGCGAATATGAGCAATTGGTATTCTAGATTTGTCTCGTGAAAATCATAATAAAAACAGAATCATCTTTGTGAAGGGTGTTACACTTTTCTGTCTCTTTAGACTGCAAAGAAACTATTATTGTTAATTATTGTATGGCTGCAATAGTACTCGCTCTCTGATTGGCTGCTGATAGGGCAAGATTTCCTGCTAATGACCGGGCATTATTAGCTAGGTGTCCAAGGCATATACAATCTGTGTTTAACTTGATAGTGGACATATTCACAGCGTTTAACAAGGGTATCCGCTGACCAGTTTCATATGTGTCGCGGGCTCAAGTGTAAAGCTCATAGAGGTGACGTGTTTTTTAAAGTTATCTACGGACCAGTTATTGGTTTTAATTGATCGTAAGCTTAATTACTTCCGATGTCTTATATAAATAGCGCTAAAAAGGCCTTTTAATAAATAACTTATTAACTTCGTTAATTACAGGGCAATCTCAGACCTCAGCCTCGCTATCGCTCTGTCAATCACATCGAGGCCTCGGTCTGAGACTTCCCTGTAATGGCCGATCGGACGAGGTTAATATATGGTATAAGTGAAAGTAAGTGTCAATCATATTACGCTTTCTCACCAGCTGAGGAAGTTGTAGCAGAGTGATTGTCGTTAGAGTAGCGAGACGTCGTTCTGCCGTCTATATTCAAGGAAGAAAATATCGTATATAGTCCGATCCCTTTTTTGTGATGCTAGTTTCAAAAAGATCTTAGTTTTGGGGCTGGAGTGTTCAGAACTAGATGTAACAAATTTGGGTTCCAATAAGTTCTTTAAGTAAACTTGACTTAATGTGCAGTAAAAATTTTTATAGTTGCTATAGCATACAACGACTGAAAATTATTTTACTAAATGAAAAATAATATAAAAATGAAAAAAATGATAATGGCGTATTAACAGCATCTCCATTGTGTGGCTCTTTTTCTGTTATGTCTATCTGTTGTGATTCACAATTTAATTCGTTCATGATTTTTGTCGAGAGGAAACTTGTGAGTTTGCGTGAAATAAACGGGTTTGAGAGACCCTGCATTATAGTGACACTGACAGATACCATTGGGGTACTTACTGTCCAAGTGATCTCCATCCGGTTCAAATTCATTTAGTGGCTGTTCTTCATCTGTGAAAAAAGAAAGTTTAAAGCAGTATAAGGGCGTTATTATTCTTGTTATTTTAAATTGTTACCATTTAATATTACCAACTATTAAAGTTCAATATTGGCTGACACATGCAAGAAAATGATAAGGTGAGGAAAGAAATTGCATAATGAAAACAAAAACTCCACATGATATTCGGATAAGATTAAAATGCTACCAGTCTGCGTGGCTAAAGGGATAAAAGGAACAAAGAAAGAAACAAGGAATGAAGTAAAAGAAAAAAAAAAACGGGGACGGATTATTTGATCCTTAGTTGGATGGGAGGACCAATTTTTCCCGAGGGTAATAGCGGCCAAAGGAAACTTTAAAAAAATCAAATATTTGGTTCTCTTTTACCGCTAGGAAACTAACTGCACTATGCAAAAGCTTTGCCACAGAGGCTATATCTGAATATATAAAAACCATTGCTAAATTTCCCCCCAGAGATTAGAAACATCAGAACGACCACTCATCTTACAACAAGGAGCAATGAAGGGATAGTCTTTCTTTACTGAAGTATTCTTACCTCTGTTTAAACCTTTACGCCCACGCCTAATACAGAAAAGTGTTCTGTATTGACTGAAGTCTTTAATGAAAGCGATGAAGCAAATTATCAATATGGCTCCGCAAAGAATTCCTCCACCAATAATTCCCCGAAGGTTATGTCTCTGATCTGGGCTAACGGAAGTGGTGCTATTCAAAGGCTGAGACCCTGGCTTGGTACTTTCATCTGCTTTGGTAGAACTGGTACTGTAAGTTTCTTTCCTGCTAACTGGTTCAACTATTTCTGAAGACTTAGTAGATCCTGTTGGCTTTAGGGTTACGGTCTTTGACAGCAATGGTTCAACTGTTTCTGAAGATTTAGTAGATCCTGTTGGCTTTAGGGTTACGTTCTTTGACAGCAATGGTTCAACTGTTTCTGAAGACTTAGTAGATCCTGTTGGCGTTGGGGGTACGCTCTTTGACAGCAATGACTTTAACGTTATCGATTTATTGATAGGACTAACTGTTGACGCTGCGCTAGTCTTCGTTGGTATTTCATGTGTCGGGAAACATTCATCAACCATAGGATCCATGTAATACCCGTCATTGCAGACTTTGGTTGAACAAATGCTATTTTGCTTTGCGGTGCACGGCCTTTCCGTAATCTTTTGACCACATCGGTTGCAACTCTTACAGTCTGATTTGTCATAATCGTCGCTGTACGTTCCATTTTCACAGTTCTGACAGCCAATATAAGTTCCATTCTTGACTCTGGACCCACATTGTACTGAAACTCCTTTTCCAGGTGGACATATTGGACACCTTTGGCATGTTTCAGCATTTTGGTTGTTTGGGTCAAATATAGTAAATTCCGCGGTTTGAGAACATCTTGCTTCTGCTGGTTTTATCATCAACGAGTTGATAAAAAACGAAGCCACGAAACAAATTTCCACGACACTGATCATCTGGAAAGACAATAGTCACAGATCCAAAACTTAACAATAGTAAACAAGTAAAATATGTCATATATATTAAGAGACTTGATTCTCATATTGTTTTAAGTTTGCCCTCATTATAGGCTTGGATGATTCTGCTGACAAGCGGAAGATCCGTGACATTACATCTGGCCGATTTTTTGAAAACGAACCTAGC